AACATAAACTTGCTACTCATAAAATGAAATCCGTTTAATATTGTAAACATAAATTAACGTATAAGCTGTTATCTAAAAGCTAAATTTCAAATTTCTGTTATATGTTATACTATAATAATATATTATAAAATAAAAACATCTGTCATAAAGTTAACATGTTGGTAAATTTTTACTTGCAAACATCGCAGGTGTACGTCTTATCATCACTCTGCGTTAATTGGTTGGTTCTAAAAGTAAGAGCCAATCACGTTCGACTGCTACTGAGCGGCTTGTGCTGAACGCGACCATTATTATTCGAATAGAATATTACGGGGTGTTTGCTTTTGTCGAGAAATAAATTTTATTTTTTCTTACATTTTACTTCCTTATATATCACGTTTTCTTTAGAGTAAGAAATTTTGAAATGTCTTGTATTTTATTCGAACTTTATCTTTTTCAGCGACTAACTATAATAACAGATCTCAAAAAAAGTTAATAATAATTACATTAATTTACATGTAAGCAAACTGAACTATGTATAAGAAGCATGCTAATTTATACCTAATAATATAATTTCTATCATTATAATATAGTTATAATATAGTAAAGTAAAGAAAGCGAAAACATATCAGAGTTGATTTAAGAAACGTATAATTTTTGCAATCCGTCGAAGAAATCTCAACTGGCGGATATATAAACGAGAAAGATTATTAGCTACGAGACGCCAGTATAACGCGCCGAAAATGTGCGGTACAGCAATATATCGAATCATAAAGGTCATCAAAAGTGTAATAAAGCGCGCGCGACATACGCGGCGGCATGCGAACGCGCATAGTCATTCGAATAAGGAATCATATGACGGGCTCGTGACCCGCTTATTATCGTTGTCATTATCGGCGTTTTTAGCGAGAAAGTAGTCTCGCCTCGCAATCTGGAACGCGAAAACCACGGCAAACCGGTTGTTGCGGCGCGCCGATATCGAGAGAAAGAGAGAGACATGATACCGCGGCCTGACTGACTTGTCGCGATTAGCAGCGAGCTAGATCGTAAAATAAGTAACAAGTAAATTAGCTGTAATCGTAGAAGTACGTATTAATATAATCTCCTTTAAGAATTTAATTGAAAAAATTTCTCATATTTTCTCAGAAATTTTCTAAGGATTTCTCATGTATTAGATTTATGAAAAATTCTAATAAATTGCGCGGATTTTCTGTTATATTTATTCAGATTTCTATAAAGATGTGTTGACAGGAAAAATTTGAAATATTTCATTATTATTTTGCCTAAATTTTTCTGAAAAATATTCCAATTTGTATAAAAAATCTGAAAAATTTTGAGAGTCTTAAATTTTTCATAGTTTAATCACAAATATTTTCTAAGTCTTTACAGTTCACGCGGATACGTATCTAGTATACCCTAGCGAGTCGCAGTTTCAAATATTGTTTGTGTCTTGACTTTACCGTTCCCGCTTACCGTTATTTATATTTGTTTTCCAAACTAACGTTTTTCCCTGTTTTTCGACTTCGTTATTTTTTACTTTAGATTCAAGATCTTTCGGCGGTTAAATGTGACGGAAATTCTGATTTATGATAATATGAAGAATTTTGAAAGACATTTTTCCACCAGGGTTGACTTCGATAAAATATCATATTCCAAAAATCGTCATCCATAAAAATCTTCTGGAAAATTTCCGAGAGAATCGGAAGACGCGTAGATCGAAGTAAAGATGAGCCTCACCAGCTTATGGCGCTCGCTCCTCTGTGCCTGGGCAATATGGACGGATGATAGCATATGCTACGGTGAGGGGGATGATTAATGACCTCCATGGGAATGTACTGGCTGCAGAAGGGAAGGACGTTGAGATCCACCTCGATGCCCTTGTACAGCTCCAGGATTTCCGGCAAGGCCACTCCCTTGCTCCTCCAAGCCTTGATCTTGAAAACCGGCGTGTTGTCGGCCTTGGCGGTGGTCGCTGCGGTCGAAAAGCGGCGATAACGAAGAGGAATACAGATCGCAGGACCATCCATTGAATGTCCCGAAGCGTTCTCCGCGTATTTTGTTTCATTCTCAGAATCAAAACGATCTCGATGAAGCGAGAACACCAATGGATGATCCCGAGGTAATTCATCCTGCGATCGTAAGGACCGCGAAGATAATCGTAATAAGATCGGTATTTTTAATCAAAATGACTCTTGTACCTAGAGGATCCTCGCGGTTTCCCTTATCCGGGATCGTGAACACTCCGGTCACCTGATGTCCATTCTGTCGCAAAAGCTTGTAGACTTCCGCCGCGAATGGACTCTGTCCGATGATAGCCACTTTGAGCTGCGCCATCGTCGACTGCGATTTTTATTTGTGAAAGATTTTCTTCATTAATTTCTACGTGTTTTCACTCCCAAAATTTTCGTTGAAAATTATATCGAGCTCTTAAGTGAGAATTAATCATATATTGAGAACCGTCACCACTGAATACACTTTACATCCTGCTATTAATGGATTGCACAATTGAAAGTCTAAACACATAATACACAGATACAGGCAATAGGAACAAGGAATGAGCCAGGCAACAGAAATAACTACATTTCAACTTATCAAAAACTGTATCAACGCAATGAAATATAGGAAATAGGCAATAGGAACAGAATTTCCGACGCGTCAGAGTTCTAATATTCTCTATTGCCTGTATCTGATCAATCACATCTGATCACACAGTAAAAAATATCGTGCGTCCAAATGTTAAAATTTTCTTGTGTTACCAAGATTTGACTATTATTTCAATGTAAAATTAACATACAACAGCTATGTTATTATTTTCGTAACATTTTTATGTGTTATATTAATGTGAACGTGATAACTTAACACTTTATGTATGTCATTTAGAAATTGAATATTATTTTGAGTTCTTTTAACATAATTATTTCAAAAAATCAACACGCCTTAAAGTTATTTTAACATAAACAAATAATCGTAAACTTTGACGTACAAAATAATCAAATTTACTACAATCAAATGTTCAAAACAACATTT